ATTATCCGAATCAATTGGTCACATGTAAGTTATAACTTTTTAACAAATTTATAAACCTAGAAAGTTAGTTTATTCTTGCTATGAATAATTTTCTTTATTGTAAATCTTAACTTAAAGATGAGATTAATTTCAAAATTACTAAATATGTTTGTGTTTTTTACTTTTAAAAAGAATCTGTTGTCTGTTTATCAAAAACTAATTTTTTTAAATAAAAAAATGAATATATAGTATATACAGAAAGTATAAAAATTAAATACTTTATGCATTTTCAAACATTTAGGATGATGATAAAAATATTTAATTTTTCTGTAATGAAACTTTTATTATATATAAATACTAAATATTTGATTACAACGAACAGTATTGTTATTTTCCATACTTTTTATATCAATAAATGATATCTTACTTCAAGGGGTTTTTCTAAAATTTGTACTAATTGTTTTGCTAACTCTGAATGATATATATCACCAGTTCCATGTGTATCTCTTGTAACAGGATCACTGATTCCCAAGCTTAGCAAATGTGATTTAAATTGTATAGTCTGAAACAAAACATTATATTAATAAAAAATTTTTTTGATAATACTGTATAAAAGTAAAAACAGCTTAAGAACTAACCTCGTCTTCAGAAATACAACCTTTCTTTTCAGTGATTTTCTGTGCAATAGTCTTTGACATATTGACCATATCTTTTGCCTAAAATAAAATTATTGTTTTTAGATATTTTTATCAATCACACTCCATAGCAGTACATACTTGAAAAATGTATCACAGTAAAAAATATCATAAAGATTAACCTGAAACTTATATTAACACCTTCAAAAAACAATCTCAAAATTTAATTTGATTATAGATTTTATTTTTCAGCAGTAACTTTTAGACAACATTTCCTTCAAAATGGTTCCTATCAGCATTTATACATATTTTCTAATAATGATATAGTTCTTAGAAACATTTCTAAAAATTTCCCTCCATCTCTCAAAGAGCAGTTGTCATGGCTCAAATAATCTTGTCAACATTCTTAAAAATACCTTCAAAACATTTTATCCAAAGAAAGATTAAAAACACTCATAAGGTACTAGATCAGAAGAAAATACTATATTTTAAATATAATTACAGTAGAGCATCGGTTATCTGAAACAATTTGGGACTGGGGTTGTTCAGATAACTGATCATGTAAGAAAAAATATATTAATCTATACCATGTTGAAATTTTTCTCCATTGCGTGTCACTTTACATTGAATTTTTGTCAATGTTAAGCCTAATGAAAAATTTTTTAAAATAATAATCATGGCTATTGTATTGTTAAAAATTATTTCTTTATTTTGTACAAACAAAATAAATATATTGAAAAATATAAAAACAAAAAAATATATATTTCAGAAGTTAATGTAGTATCAAAAACATTCTGATTCAGCACAACACACAGTCCTCAGAAAAACACCACAAAACTTTCTCTTTTTCTTGGGTTTATCTGGAAATGTCAGCCGCTTGGGCTATATTCTCCGATGAGCTGAAGCAAAACATACCACTCATGATGAGAAAAAAATGCCTCATTCAAATATTGG